TCACCTGAGTGAACACGTCTGTCCGCCCCCGCCCCGCCCCGCGCTCGGCGCTGGCTGCATTCCGACGGCGCGGTGTGGACCGCCAGCTCAGTCTGCTCCGAGCGTCGGGCCGCGCCGTTGCCCTCGGCTCCGTCCGATCGTCTCGCGCCGTACCCGTCCCGTACCCGCCGGTACTCGCGCGCGCCGCACCCCTCTGTGCCGAGGTAGCTCCACACTGCTCTGCCATGGACGCATGACGGGGCAGGCTGTATGAGTCGGCCTTGTGTGCCCCTCTCGAGCGAGAATGACAAGTTTTGAGCAAGCATGCAACGCAACCCGTTCGCGGGGACATGCTCTCCCTCTAAAGTTGTCTTATTCTGCTCGTAAAGGGGTTGCGGCTGGCCGGTCTCGCAGTTTCAGTGATCAGTGATGAAGTGGTGTATAGTTCTTGTGCGACTCACGTGATCTTCACGCTATTGCCCATCTTCGGATAAACCTGGCGTCTCAATTTTCCTCAATTTTCTTTTGTGACCCCGTGATTGGTGAACAGGAGCAAGTCGTAGTGCGATGTTTGTGGCAGAGTGGCACCTGTACCCTCCCCCTACCTCCCATTTATGTATCAAGTGCTCAGTAGTTTGTGTGCCCAGGTGTGTGTGTGTGTGTGTGTGTGCGCGCGCGCGCGCGCCTGTCCTGTGTGTGTGTGATCGTGCGGTTTTGAATGGGCTGCCCTTTGGCCAGGCGACAGTGACCCTTTGATTATACGGCTCACGTCCGACGGTCATCGCGATTTGAAATTCCCGTCATCGGCGCGCGGCTCGGCGTGAGCGGCTCGGCCAGCTGCGGGGCGGGGGCCCCCGAGGAGTGTGCATAGCATCGATGTGGAAAAGGGAAAAAAGAAAAGACTCGCGTGTCTGGAATACACTGTCGATACGAAAGATTGTAAACGACCTGCTTTGCGTTATGCGTTTGTAACGGTGTTAGGGTTCTCTTCCGTTCGATGTGATTTGTACGTCCACTGTTGGTGTATAGTTTTTATTGAAAATATCGAGTATTCGTGTACTTTGGGTACGAATAATTGTTCGTAGTGGTATAAAATCAAGCTGTTCGTAACATCACGATTGAACGCGTTTAGTCCCAGCGAGTTTGTAGATTTTTTTGTTTAAACCACGATATATTGACCAATACTTTACATCCTACCCCAAGTAACTATCTATGGGTTGTTGTTTTTGATCTCAATTTCAGGGCTAGAGCTACACGGGGTAGCGTAGGGGCCCACAATTTTCTTTAACTTTTTTCGTTTTCATTCAAAATTGAATAAGCTTACCATGTAGGCAAATTGTTTGCGCAGCGGAGGTGCGACTGACTCCGGGGGTCGCGGTCGCGGATCGTTTGCCGAGGTGCGCCTTGTCTTGATGGTCGTGACCCTGCAAACCGGTCCCATACCATACCATCCCGACCCGTCGCATCCTCCCCTTATGACTGACCCGGCCGGGCCCGGGCCGGTCGGAGCCGCGGCCGGGCAGGCCAGGCACGCACAAAGCATTCTGCTGCGGCCGCAGAGGACAGCCTCGCCGCGCCGCCGCCTGCCGAGCAGGCTGTGTGGCTGGTGTGGACGTGGGACTCTGTTCGCCAAAAACCTCATAGCGTGGTCCTCTGGAGTCCCGAGAATCAGTCGTCGTGTCACCCCAGCGGCCACATTGGTGGCTGGTGGAGACGTTTCTGGTGACGTTTTTGGGGAGCGATCTCTCTCCATCTTCTCGTTTTTGCAGAGTAGCACTTGGTCATCACCAGCGTCTGGCCAGTGCAGGCCCTGTTATCTAGATGACCTTTGTCTCGGCATTACCACACTGTAAACGATGTTTCTTTCTACATAAAGCAGACACTTAAAAAGGTTCTGTATGTGACCCAGAACTTGCTCAGAAGAGCCAGCCGTTTTACGCGCGTGTCTGGCGTATGGCCTTTTTTTTCTGCCCAGAGTAGACTTTCAGGCATTCGTACTGTGTGTTAATTATGAAATTATAAACCGCATACCAAACGCCGCCATTCTCTTGCTGCAAGTAGTGCGGTTTCTTCTGGTAGCGCACTTGTGCCTGAAGACGCAGAGACTTGTCCTCGTCCAGCCACTCCGTATTGACCAAAGCAGCGCGTCTTCGCTCTGACCTCCACTGCCCTTGTCGAATTTGACCGCCCTCCATAATAACCTGTGGTTTTACGTGAGCGGGAGCTGGCAGGGGGGGGGGGGAGTATGTCAAACGCGAACCGCGGACTCCGGCATTATCAAATTTTACGCACGCGAAGAGGAGGGCGGACTTTTTTTACCCCATACATTTGTGATCTCGTGCGTGCCGACCGACCCGGCTGACCGAGCGGGCCGTGTCTTTGTAGACCTCAAGTCGCCTCAAGTCGTAGTCTCACACTATTGTGACGATGTGCACTCTCAAATGATACGGTTTTGGTGTTACACAGCAAATTTTCCGCTCTGCTCGTGGCTTCAAGATATCCCCAAAATATGAGCGAAAACATAAGACTTCACGTAAACAAAACAGTTTTAAAAAGTGAAACGTAATGTAAAACAAAGTATAAAATAAAGAGCGGCCACTCTGTTTTCAACCGGAATGGGCTTGAAAATCGCACGATTGCGATGGCGCACAATTGCCGATGTGCATTCAATGAGTAACGGCGATCGCCGGTGGGCAGCAGCAGCAGCCCTTGTGACGTGGCTCGGGAATGTACCGGACGTTGCTGCCTTGCCTTCCCTACACCGGGTCGGTCGCGGGGCCGGTCGGGCCCGGCTGGGCAAGTATAGTGATGTTGGATTGAAGCTTTGCAGACTTGCGGAACATTCCCGGCCGGGAGCGCTGCCGCCGCCGCTGCTGGCGGATGGTGGAGCCTTACGTGCAAGCCGGGCGGCAGCTAGAGGGCGTCGTCGAAAGATCGGACCTACCTCAGTACCTCAGGGCTGTAGGGGTTCCTTATTCACACGTCTGCTACTTTCATTTCCGAACCGCTAAATTTCATTTCTTGTTGCTCAAATCAAAATAAGTGAAGGAAAATTACTGTATACCGTTGCGGCTCCCGATCGTATCTTTTATACACTCACGTATGGGATGCCCAGCTTCCATACGCACACGGCGACCCAGTGCCGGTACACGCGGGAAGGTCAGTGGTTCCGTTCGGAGGGGAGGGGCTCTGACCGTTCTGCATTCCGTTCTGTTCCGTTCCATTCCTTACCTGGCCGCGCGCCAGCCCAGCAGAGCCGAGCAAGAGCCGGGATGCATATAGCGGCACTGCATTAAGGAGCGGTCGCATGCCCGGCGCCGCCGCCCATTCTCGTGTAAAGCTGACGCTGCATATCGCAGCTTCGTCTCTTTGCTGCTTTTACAAGTGAAAACGGAAATGCGCGCGGGGGTCTGCTGCTGCTGCTGCTGCTGCATGGCGTGTCGTGTGATCGAGCGTAGGGCTCGCCCAGGCTCCCCCATGGGGGTCAGGGGCGGCCCCGCGCGGCCCCGCCACCGCCACTCGCCGCGCCGAACACTGTCAGCCCCACTTTCCTCCTCGGCGTGATAATTAGCTCTGGGATGGGAAATGTGCGCCACCTCCCTGCCTGCTGGAGGAGTGGAGTACACTGTCGCCAGCCGCGTCGATCGCCCCGGCGAGTGCGTGCGACGACGCGCTCTTGCCGTGTCACTCGCCGCGAGGCCTGCATCGCGAAGTGTGTGGTGGAAAGACTCACCCGAGCCCGAGTCCACTGGCTCCATCTCGCATATGATGGACTAGGTATTGGCATCCTCTGATGAACGGCAATGGTTGGCGTTCGAAGACACATTCCAGAGTTTGGCGTTCTTTACAGGACGCCAAATAGTTTGGCTTTAAAAGACGCCAAATAGTTTGGCTTTAAAAGACGCCAAATAGTTTGGCTTTAAAAGACGCCAAATAGTTTGGCTTTAAAAGACGCAAACCAGTTAACTATGCGGGACTACATACGCGGTAAAAAGACTTCTTATTTTTTGAGGAGAAAGGGAAAACTTTGAGGGGCTCCCATGTTAGAGGAAAACTCCTTTCGATCCCGCCTCAAACTTTGAGGAATCTTCTCGAAAAATGATGAAAAATCCCCCTTTTTTGTGGAGACTTTCTCGAAATCTGAAGAGTTTTCCTCGCAGACCAAGCAAGTTCCTCAAAGTTTACCCGTTCCCCTCAAAAAATGAGACGTCGTTTTTGCCGTGATAGGTTTCACATTCACATGACAGTGTACGGGGAGGACCATCGGGGAAGACGAGGGAAGGAGGGAATGAATGGTCATTTAGCGAGAGATTTGTCAGGCCGGCTCCTGTGGTCCTTGACCGCGTGTGGTGGTTGTTTGGCCGGAGCCATCAGACGCAATAGAGGTGCGGTGCCGCCGCGGGTCCCGCTTCGCTTGGGCGAAAGTCAGCTGTTTGCCGTCAAGGGCGCCGCGGCGTGGTCTGACCCGCGGCCCGGCCCAGCGTGGCTCATTTCTCTCGCCAACACACACACACACACGTGCGCGGGTCCTTACCTAGAAGTACTCGTCCGTACCCCCCCAAAAATAAAAATAAGTGAATGAAAGTAAAATCAAGAACTGAATTGCGACAAATAATAGCAACAGCAGCAACAGTCAGGTACTATTATTCTATTTCACAAACCTAGATGCATAAACCGCTACTTACAAAAAATCAACCCGTACCAAATTAAATTTTATGAGTGAGTACGATTTCTACTAAACAGTGAAACTGCTGCTGTTTCTTGTTTCACATATATTGATCTTGACTTGATCAAAGTGGCGCCTTGCAAGTGTGAAGCGCAAGACTGCCGACACTTGCAGGTGCTCACATGACAAAAGAATGTCACGTGCAGCTTCAAAGCAGACGTTTCTTTGTGCAGGAGCAGCAGCCAGTCGTTAGACTGCTGCCTCGCACTTGAGTTTGCAGACCGTTTCCCTTCTCTTTATGTCCTCTCCCCTATCTATGGGTTGTTGTTTTTGATCTCAATTTCAGGGCTAGAGCTACACGGGTAGCGTGGGGGTCCACAATTTTCTTCGCCCTTTTTCGTTTTCATTCAAAATTGAATAAAGCTACCCATGTAGGCAAATTGTTTGCGCAGCGGAGGTGCGACTGACTCCGGGGGTCGCGGTCGCGGATCGTTTGCCGAGGTGCGCCTTGTCTTGATGGTC